TACCTTCTAATATACATCATTACTTCCTTATTTTAGTATCTTTATCCCCCTACCAGAATTTAAGCTCCATGAGAGCAGGGGTTTTTTAAAAAACAAAACAAAACAAAACTGTTTTTTAATCATTTAGAACAGTACTGGTGACATAGAAAATGTTCAGTAATTATCTTTGAATAGATATATAAATGAAAAGTAGCAAAAGAAAAACTGCAAAAATTTTAGATGATATGTTGATAATTTTTACATTTCACAAATCCAATTTCATGGTAGAAAGGCTTGGCGAATAATCCTTAACTAGTTATAGTTCTAGCTTCATCCATTCTCTACACTCTTCTCTACACTTTGTGTTAACTCTTCTGTTCAAGGAATGCTTATGTATTATTTGCTTCTGAAAATTATAAAGTTAGAAATTTATTTCTATTTATCAGAAAAACATATATAAATAAAATATATCATATATATGCTTCTAGAAGTCACTTATAATAATGGTATTAACTAAAAACATAAAGCATTAGCTGGAGGTTCAAAAAGTACTTAAAGAAAATTTATCTATAATATTCAATAATAAGAACAATGAACAACAAAGGTATGAAGCTCTTACTATGGGCCAGACACCTATTTTATGTACTTTACATTATTTCATTTAATCCTCAACTACTAGATAAGAAACATAAGGCACTGAAAGATTAAATAATTTACTCAAAGTCACAAATTTCAGAAGTGCAGAGTGAGAGATCAAACCCAAGTAGTGTGATTCTAAAGCTTAGGTTTTTAACTACGACACTAACAAATATCAAAGTGAGGGGTCTGGAGTACAAAAGCGTGAACTCTGTTCAATGTAAACATGCAAAATCAAAGTCTGAATAAGAAGAGAAAGAGCTTTGGGAGTCAGACAGACTTATTTTCCAGTTTTGGCTCTACTTCTTATGAACTTTGTGTCCTTGGAAAATTATTTTGACACCTCTGAGACTAAGTTACTTCATTTTAAAATAAGTATTATAATACTTTCCACATATTTTTAAAAAATGATTAGTGACAATACACATAAAGTAGTAATATAGGTAGTGGCTGCTTGCCATTGGCTGAATATCTGTGTCTCCCCCAAAAATCATATATCGAAACCTAATGCCCGATGTGATGATATTAAAAGTTCCGGCCTTTGGAAGTGCTTAGGTCATGAAGGTAGAACCCTTATGAATAGGATTAGTGATCTCATAAAAGAGACCCCACTGAACTCTGAAGCCCCTTCCACCATATGAGGATACAGTGAGAAGGCGCTGTCTATAGTCCAGAAAGAGGACCCTCATCAGATACCAAAATCTGCCAGTACCTTGATCTTGGACTTCCCAGTCTCTAGTACTGTGAGAAATAAATTTCTGTTGTTTATAAGCTACTCAGTCTTTGGTATTTTTGTTTTAACAACTTGAACAGACTAAAATACTGCTATTTATACTAGAATACCTCAGAGAGTTGTTTCAGAGCTTTTACTTTGTGTCTGAAGAGGAGCTACTAACAATTCTATAACTAAGAGGAAGGATCCACTGGGTGTGGGTGATAGCATGAAAAATGATTGGATATCCAGTGCCTTAGAACATCCTGAAGAAGGGAATTAATCAGTGAGAACTCATTTAGCAGATGATGAAACTAGCCCTCAATCATTGTGACTTATTTAGGAATACATGACATAGTCTCAGTTCTCTTTTATTCCTGGTTCTTAAACCATCTAGTAACAAAGCAATGGCCATGAACAGGAAAAATTAAATCTTATTTACAATCACAGAAAACTATTAGAATTATACACAATTAACGAGAGAATACCTGATAATAGCCTCTTTGAATAAAATAAAACTATTGATAACATACAAATAAAATTCAAATAGCCAAAGTTTAGAATATCTACCTAAGTAATAGTAATAGAGTAGAAAAGTAATAGAATATCTACCCGAGGAATAGCTTTACACAATGCTTTGAGCAGGTCCATCTGTGAAGTACTTCAGTCATTCATTTAACAGTACACTTTGCAGCTTGACTATTTTCATGTTTACCCTTTTTAAACAGGTAAGAGTCTATCTAACATGTGATGCTTTATCTTTTGTCTATTTACCATTCTCACTTGAGATCCAAAACACTTTCTTTTTATGAAAAAGAGTAATTTTATTTGGATAAACCAAACCTACAACTTAATGCCTCCTTAAGGAATTAACTTGCAGTCTTACACATTAAACTTAAGTTCAACTTTTAAGTTTTTCCAATTAGAAAACTGAGGCCCCTACGGACTATTATATAGCGTACAATATTATTTTAAAGTTACTGGGGGAAAAGTCATCATCCGTAGGAAATTGTGTGAGTCGATCATGGAAATATACAAGAAGTCTTTAACTATAATGGTGTTATATGGACTAAGCTGGCAGTTCATTTAAATTATTTTCTCAGTTTTATAAGCCTTTCCTATCACTCTCAACACACTCGTTATTTTTTATATATCATAGGTTTCATTATATTTTAATGTGGTCATTTGCTTTTTCCTACCCATCAAATGAGAGTGATCACAAAACTTGTTGCAAGCCTCAACTTTAAATAGCAGTTCTGTTTCTGGAGATGTAATACAGGGGGATAAATAACTGGTCTATCAGCAAATGCCTGTTGAAGGAAAAAAGGAAATTCAATGTGTTCTGCACAGCTTTACATTAAATCAAACATACACATACACATAGACAAAAAACACTGCATTTCATTGACAATAATTATAAGGACCTCAAAAAGGTAAAATGACATTAGGTCTAATTTAAAAAGAAAAAGATCTTTGAACATAAAAAATTAGAACAATAAAAACATAAAAGTAAATGTTTTTACCAAGCTACACACCAGTACTAAGTCTTGGAATCAATTATTCAAATTCATCCCAATCTCTGTCGAGAAAGTAGAATAACCAAGTTTATAACTAGAAAGCCAAACACTGAAAAAAGTACACTAATTTTTATGCTAATGCAGTCAAAGTTTCAATGTAAGTCTAAATGTGAGTTATCTATTCCAATAGTCAAGTAAAATTAAACTTGCTTTTTAAATTTTTTTTCTTGGTCTCCCCACTGGAGATCATGTAAGGAAGACAAGCCCAGGAAACGACCTTAAATCCAAACTAGTTCTTTGATGATTCGATAATGCTTAGAAGTTATCATCCTGCTAGATTTATCACCTTTGGGGCAAAGACATGAGAATAATCAAAAAGAAAGTTTTTGTCGTGGCCCATTATTGGGAAACATGGTACAGAAATGCTCAGTTTTCAGTGACTCCATTCTAAATTAAATCTAGAAGTGTCCCCAAAGCCAGAAACCTGTCTGTCTTGGTTTTAACTATGACCGTCTCAAAAAATATAGGAGCTGGGTGATAAATCTAAAGGCCTGGTATAAGACCAGGTAAAAGCCTGGGAAATATAAACTCAGGCAAAGTACCAGCAGAATAGTGCTAGTCATTTCAGGGTAGAGTACAGATGCCTGAAGACAATTGGTAGAGTAGAACAGAATCTATGACTCTGACAGCAAGCCAGCTATGACAGGCAACAAATCCTCTATTTCAAAAGCTGAGCTACATTTATGTTCATTGTATTTTCTTTTATTTTTTTATTATTTATTATTACTTATGCCTACAGCACCTGGTCTTCCTAGGTAGTCTCCTATCCAAGTACTAACCAGGCTCTGCTTAGCTTCCGAGATCAGACTTCGGGCTTGTTCAGGGTGGCATGGCTGTAGACCATAGATCGTGGCTCTGCTGGGGCACAAACCCAGGACCTTCTGCATGTAAAGCAGAGATGCTAACCACTACACTATGGAACCACTTGTATTTTCTTTTAATTTGCCGATTTTTATATTTTAATCTTCACAAAACTCTTTTTAAATGTCCTAGTCTGTCTAAATTATGCCATTGAAGAACTACAAGGAGAGTATTTTGTTTACATCTGATTCAAAATATTAAAGAGAGAAATTCCCCAAGGGCTAGCACAGAGCAAATGTACTCCAAGCAAGAAAATCCCAAGGTGAAAGAAGTATGTTTGATCATATATAAATTATGCCATAATTAAGTTGATTTAGAAAGAGGAAAAAAATCAGTGTTTCTGTTAGACAAAGTTCTAAGAATGAAAGAAACCCCTTTGGAAGAAACAAAACCCCACAAGTTTTTTCTCTATAATTAATGTCTTTCTGAACCAAAAAATGATAAGAGTGATTCATAGGGCAATCTGAACAAGAAAACTGGTAAGACAACTTCTGATTTCTCAGAGAATACAGGATTTCAGAGAGTACAGAGACAACCTAGACACTATAATTTGGGGAAGTGTAAAAATAAAATAAAGATTTTTGTGTAATGTAAAAATCATCTGAAGCAAACATAAACATCTGTTTTAATTCTTACACTCAAGGATCTTAATCTGTTTATATACTCATTAAAGGCTATTTCTCTAATGTTTGATTGTGCTTTGCTCATTATTTGTACCACCGCATTCTAATCTGGCTGCCTGGTGTTAAATTACTACCCTATGCAGTTGTAACCCAAGTTCATTATAATTTCTGCAAAAGACTGCAAAAGAAATTAACTTAGACACCTCGGGTACCTTTCCATTTCTATTCTCTGGGAAATATTATTATTTAACACACACTAAAAGGTAGTATCAGGAATCATAATATATTTAAAACAGAATTTAACTTAAAAAAAATTAGCATTGATTTACATAAACTTTTCAGGGCCTGACTTTTTTCGATAGTACATCTATACATCATTTCTACACATAGTAGCAAAACATATGCACAAAATAATTCTTTAAATAATTAACTCAGAAAAGACATGAAGATTAAATTCTCAAGTAATTTGATTAAATCACTCAAACTTTAAAATTAAACATTCCATCAGAAGTCAACAGTCAAAATTCTCAATACTATATAATCTACCCAACAAGCCTCTTCAGATTTGGATTTTCCTATAAAACTGCAATAAGTAAAGCACATAAGCACATAGCTCTAATTAACAGAATCTTGGTGCCTAGACTCAGCTTTAAGACAGAAAAGCATTAAGGACAGAATCAGTCAGCATTTGGTCTAATGGTTTAACCATGGCTTGATGGCAAGCTAAGCTAAAATATCAAAGGGACTGCTAAAAGTATGGCCTAATAATTCAATGCCCCTTGAAATTTATACTATCTTATTTCTGTAGAGTTATTAATGTTAAAATGATTCTAATAAACTGATAGATTTTATTTGTAACTCATTTAAAACAGTAGAGCAATATTTCAAAATCATTACAATATTGCTGATGATGCTAATATACATGAATCTCTTGGTTGTGTGGTAATTCTTTCCCTTTCACAGTGGTAGGTTGTGTTAATACAACAATTTTTCTTTCGTTATTCACTAATGAGACAGTAATTGCCATCATAACCCTACTGGAAATATAAATGTGTAAATATAATATGCCTAAGGATAGGTTTCACTGTATTTATAATGATTCCCAAACACATTTTGTTCTGCATGAACACACCAACAACATAATGTTTTCTTTTCTGTGGAATATAAACAGCATATTTTCAGAAATGTGCAAACAGAAGAAAGAAATTTAACTAGGTAGATTTCAGGTTCTTCTTTCTAGCAACTAAATGGAAAAGCAGTGAATAGAATACTCCCTTTTATCAAAAACCTGTTAACCTTTAATTAGAAACTCTAAAAAGAGGCTATTTTAAAGTCTTTAATATTTCAATTAGAAACATAACTGCCAGCCTCAGTATGAGTTCGAACATACTATAATATAAAACTGTACATTCCATTTCAAATATCAATTGTATATGAAGGAAACTTATTTGATAAGTTTCAAAGTATTTCAAAGTATTATTGGCGGACATCACTACCTTCAAAGTTTACTTAGGATATAAAAGTTTCTTGAAGTGTATTTTAAATATTATTTTTCAGTGATATATTTTAGTTGATGAACTACTTTGGCAAATATTGTCCTTTGAGACATCAGGTACTCTCTTGATCCTAAATATGGTAGGTATCATTTATCATTCAGTAGGAATTTATCAAAAGTTCCAGTTCACCATTCTTAGATTCTTAGACTATAATCTTTACTGAAAAGTCCTAAAAAAAGGAATGTAAAAGTAGTACCTTTCATGATGTCCTAAATCTGACAAAAATTCATCTGCATGTCTTTGGAGTTCATTTCCTTCTAAATTCTTTAATTTCTTCAATTCACTTTGTAGAAAAAACCAGAGCTCTTTAGCTCCATTTTCAATCCTCCTCCGTAGGAGTTCATGATCCTTCCCCAGATCTGCAAAGGACAAAGAATACCAGCATTTCCAACATTTTGATAAAAGGAAAATTTCAATTATTTGTGCTAATAACAACATAGTGAAGAGGAAAAACACTGTAAAATCACCTACCATTTCTAGTTTGTTTCTTATAATTTTCAATCTGTTCTTTGGCTTTCATAAGCTGCTCTTCTAAAGCACGAACTCTTCCAGAAGCCGGCCCCTGATCAACGGGGCCTTCTGGTATCCTGTAGTTCAGGGAAAAAAATGTAAACATTTAGCTTATCAATTACGCAACAAAATATATGGTTATTAAAGCTACATGCTAAAACATATTTATTGGTAACTCCAAGAGTCACTGAACCATGAAATATATTAGAAGTACCAATGAAATTCTTTCCAAAGGTATAGGATAAAGCATAAATACTGGAATAATACTGAACAAAAACAAAAAAAAAATCTAGCTCAGTGATCTCTGACTTTCTAGGAATTAAGAAACCTTTAGAACTGTTTCCTAAAAACCCTCATATCACTTAGAAAAATATCTATCAGTGACAAAGAGGTAAATTCTTCATTAGTGTTGAGAATAACAAAGGTGAAGGAGAGGGTGAGAAAAAGCTTAAAGGGAATTAGAAAGCACATATCTCAACATGTGTCAATGTTCAAATATCAAATAAAAATAATATAATATCAGGCTATGTATATCTGTGCTCCAATTCATGAACTCATGACCTTAAATTACTAAGCACTGGTTTCATAGGAAAGGGAAAGACAAGAGTAGAAGAGGAAGTATATCAGAAAAAAAAAAACTGAAGATTAATGTCCTGTTTATTTCTATCAGAAAAAAAAAAATCAGTCAACAATATAAAACATTAGAACATAGCAGAGGAATTCCAAGATCTCTTGCTTATATTATCAACCTATCTGTAAAGCTTCTTTCCAAACTGTACTGGTTTCTAACACGTTTTGTTTTGATGTGACTTTTGGCAATATTCTATACTCCATTTTGGTCATAAAAGATATCTACATCCTAATCCTGAAATCTGTAATTGCTTCCTTATATAACAAAAGAAACTTTCAATGTGTGATTAAGTTAAGGATCTTGAGGTGGGGAGATAGTCTTACATTATCCAGGTGGATCAAAATTGTAATTGCAGGTGTTCTTATAAGAGAAAGGCAGAGGGGCATTTTACTACGAAAGAGGAGAAGGCGATGTAGTTTTTAGCTTTAAAGATGAAAGAAGAGTTCATGAGCAGCAAATGCAAGGAATTCATTGCTAGAATCTGGAAAAGGCAAGAAAACAGATTCTCCCCTAGAGCTTCCCTAGGGAATGTGGCCCTGCTCACACATTGGTTTTGGCCCAGTGAAACTTCTTTAGACTTCTGTCCTCCTGAAATGTAAGAGAATAAATTTCTAGAGTTTTAAGACACAAAGTTTGTGGTATCTGTTACAGCAGCAATAGGAAACGAATACACACACACACACACACACACACACACACACACACACACACACACACATACACTTTTGCAAAATTATTGTGAATATTAAATAGTGGCTAATTTTTCTACCAAAATCTATTTAAATGAGAAAATGTCTATAATAGTACTTAGCACAGTGTCTGTCAATAAACTTTTTCAGGACTACTATATCTGGGCTCAATCATTTTAGAAATGAGCTGTAACCTCAAAATGTTTGGAATATCTATTTAAACCATCACAATCATTTTAAGAGAACTTAATTTTTAAATTATGCTTGGTAGAACTTCAATTCAGATTCAACTTAGTCCTTTGATGCAAAGACACTAAAACAGAATTTTAAATACTTTTTCTAATATTTTTATATAACAGATAAAGCCAAATTAACTATTAATTACCTATACCACTTCAGAATACATGTTTAGTAAAGGAGTTCTTATCACAGCTACACCATAGTAAATAAAGTATTCTGTAATTTTGCATAAAACTGTATTCATTAACATTGAACAGAAGCATGAAAAATCACTATGCTCCAATCATGAATGTCCCAGGCCACAAAATTTGAATTAAACAGCCCTCATTTTTATGCACACAAACTGAATAATGATAAAGCGAATAGAGTTTTTAGGTGCATGATTACCCAATTTGTAAGCACAAATGTGTATACATTCATAAATGAAGCATTTTCTGCTGTATAGTTTTTAAAAATTAGCACTTAATCTCTTTCTGAATTAGATGACTGATTTCTAAGAAATAATTTGAAAACAAAATAAAACTACTATCTCTTGGAATTTATTTTGGCAGCAATATGCCACAGGACAAGGACGTCCTTTTCTAGAACACACTTTAGTGATACAAAATTTCAAACAATAGAAAGATATGTCTGCATGGAGGGGGTCCCTCATGGCTTAGAGTTTCTCCAGTGGGAAAAAGAGAGCTCAAGGTGGATATCAAGCTTCCCCAGCATTCTGGATGCTTCCTGGGAGACCCCTTAAGTACTGCCTCATGGGAGTTACTGGAAAAGTCAGCTAGAGATAGAGAAGAGGAAAGGCTCACAGCAATAATGCACGGATGTTGGCAGACTATGTTCCTGCCAGAGTGGGGCCTGAGTGGAGATCCCAACTAGTGGCTCTGATCATGTGCAGAGCTGAACCAGTGGCCCCAACTGGCCAAGGAGTTTGGTTTGTAGTCCTGCCTGGTTTGGGTCATCAGCCAGAGTGCAGTCTTGGTGGAGGAACTCATTCTAGAGCCCCACCTAGACAGGAAAGCAAGGCAGCAGGGCCTACTCAACTCAACTGCTGAGTATAACCTCCAACCCCACCCAAGAGGAAGCCTGGCCAAAGATACCAAGCAGTCGCCTGAGCAGGAAAGCCCCGCCCAACTGCTAAGCATACCCTCCAGCGCCACCTGACCAGGAAGACAGGCCAGCGACCCAAGGTAGCCACGGAGCCCATTCTGCAGGCCCTTTCAGTCAAGAAACCAAGCCAGCAGCAGCACCCTACTATTGCACACAACTCCAGCCCAGCCTCACCAGGTTGCCCAACCAGAGATCCCAGTCAGCTCTGGAGCCCATACTATAGCCCCACTCAGGCAGAGAGAAGCCAGCAGCCTTGCCCAACTGTGGAGCATGACCATTGGCTCTGTCTGACCAAGGAGCCCAAACAGTGACCTTGGGCAGCCTCAAAGTCAAGCCTACGGTACTGCCTGGCAGTAGAACCCAGCTACAACCCATTTAGCAGTACAACAACAGCTTACAGCCCCATCCAATTGCTGAGCACCCCACCCATCTATGGGGTACAACTGGCAGCCCTGCCTAACCAGGAAGTCCAGAAAGAGACAATGTCAAACAGCAGAGCATAGCCAATAGCCTATAATTGCAGAGCCCAGGCTGCAGCCCTGCCCAACTTTGAGGCACAGCTTGCAGTCCCATCTGACCAAATAGCACAGTTCCATTAAGCCAGGGGGCATAGCTTGGAGCCCCATCCAACCAGAGGTGACTGCGGAGCCCAGCATGCGACCCTACACAACTGCAGGGTGCAACCAGCAGCACCACCCTGCCCTGCCAGGGAACAGAGCCTACAACCCTGCCCAACCAGGGGTGACTGCAGAGCCCAGCAAGCAGCCTTGCTTAAGTTCAGATCCCAGGCAGCAGTTCTGCTTGAATGTGGAGCCTAGACACCAGGCCACCAGACTGCAGAATGACGACACCCTTCCACCACCTTAGAGCATAGGCAATGGCCCCATCCAATTAGAACCTTTGGAGCAAACACATGTTTGCCCGAGGCTGCTACCACCTGCCTATATAGGGTCCCAGGTTGAGCTGACTGGTGAAAGTCTTTCCCTGCCAAAACAAACCTGTAAAGGCTGGAAAAGAGATGGTTTCCTCAAATGAGTAGATACCAACACGAGGATACAAGGATCACAAAAAAATAGGTAAATATGACACCCCCAAAGGAAACTAATAAAGCTCCAATAACTAACTCTAAAGAAATAGAGATCTATTAACTGTCTAATAAAAATTTCAGAATAATCTTCTTAATTCAGTGAACTGTAAGAAAACAGACAACTATGTGAAATTAAGAAAACAATGCATGAACAAAATGGGAAGTTCAACAAAGAAATAGAATTCAATAGAGAGCATCAACATTAGACTTGGCCAAACAGAAGAAAAACTAGTGAATTCAAATACAGGTCATTTGAAATTATCTAGTCAGAAGAGAAAAAAAAAAGTGAAAAAGAGTGAAGAAAGCCTACGTCATGGGATTGCATAAGAGAAATGAATCAACCTATGATTACTGGAATCCCAAAAGAGAAAGAGGAGAAAGGGTCAGAAAGCTTGCATAAAGAAATAACTTCCAAAATCTGGGGGGAAAGATCATTTACTCCAAGACACAATATAATAGAATTCTCTAAAATCAGAGTCAAAGAAACAATTCTAAAGCAACAAGAGGAAAAAAATCTTCACATTCAAAGGAACATCATCTATAGGCCATTCTTCACATTCAAAGGAACATCATCCATAGGCCATTAGTGGCTTTGTCAGCAGAAACACTGCAGGTCAGGAGGGAGTGGGATAATATATTCAAAGGGGCTGAAAAAATATATATCAATAACCAAGAATACTTTATCTGGCATAGTTGTCCAAAAATGAAGGAGGAATAAATACTTTCCCAGAAGAATAAAGACTTTCCCAGAGTGGTGAGTTCATCACCACTAGACCAGTCTTATAAGAAATGCTGAAAGGAGTTCTTTAAGCTGAAATGAAAGGATGCTAATTAGTTACACAAAAATATAAGAAAATATAAAACACAGTGATAGAGTATAGTCAAATTCAGAATACTCCAATACTACGATATGGTAGTGTTTTAATCATTTTATTCTGGTATAAAGGCTAAAAGACAGGTATTAAAAAGAACTATAACTTCAACTATATTTAATACCTATACAATATAAAAAGATATAAATTGTGACATCAAAAACATAAAATGGGGGTGGAGTAAAAATGTAGAGTTTTTTTATATGATCAAATTATGATCAGCTTAAAATACCGTTATATCTATAAGATGATTTACGTAACCCTCATGGTAACCACAAAACAAAAACCAACAGCAGAGACACAAAAGATAAAGAGTATCAAAGAATATCACCAAGGAAAATCATCAGTCACAAAGGAAGACAGCATGAGAGGAAGAAAGGAAAAAAGAAAGTACAAAATATCTAGAAAACAAGGAATACAAAGGTATTAGTAAGTCCTTATCTATCAGTAATTA